TCAAAGAACGTCAGGCCGCAACATTTAAACACAATTTATTTACTGCTCAGCTGACGTTTCTGTGGTTGTGTAAACAAATGATCTTCTTTCTTTATTAAAACACGTCGACTGCACAAAGAACAAAATGTATCCTGTTTGAATTACAGTAGTCCCTCGTTTATCACAGAGGATCTGTCCCCTGAAGACCTGCGATAAGTGAAAAACCACAAAATAGGAATAGTAGTACAAGTAGTAAGTAGTAGCTTATTTTAGTATATATAAATATATATATATATATATATATATATATATAATTCTTCCCACACTCTTGCAATATTCTAAACAATGTTTCTAAACTCTAAACGCTCTAAAAGAGACAGCATGTCATGATTTCAGCTCCCTGCCTCCGCTGCTCTTTGCCACCTGCAAGAGTTCTTGGCCACGCCCACTTCTCCACTCTGCACGGTGAACAGCTGATCAGCTGCAGCAGGAAGTTTATCCTGCTGCAAATGTGCAGCAGGTGCTAAATAATTAAAATAATTCATTTTAAATAAAAATCCATGCCGATGGTGCGGCTCATCCATCAAGCAGCCAGTTGTTTGTCGTGTCCAATCTTATTTTGAAAAACCGCGATAGAGTCAGCGAAAAACGAACCGCGAAGTAGCGAGGGACTACTGTGTGTAGAAAAATCTGAAGCCAGAGTCTTTTTACCATCAACTTTTCTGCAAACAGTTTTATTGAGCTGCTGTTTCTGAAGTGGAAATAAATTCAGAAATCTTTTCAGTGTTTTCATTTTTTTAAATCTTTTAAAAGAGCGCATTCGATGCATTATTGGCTTCATCACTAGTTTATTTTACGAACTGGGCCTAAACTCTGAGAATAGACACAGATTCTGTAAAGACTCTGCAGTGAAGTGACTGAAACGATGATGGGGGAGTTCACAGCGTGCACCTCGGAGCGCTGCGTGTTATTTATTCTATTTTAACGGACAGTAAAAGCAGCAGGACGTGTTTTAGCTCAGACTACAGTAAAAAGGTCAGGACCGCGGTCTGCGGTTTGTCCTCTCTGGACGTCTCTGCTGCTGGAAGGACCAAACTGTTTTCTTTCTCTTCAAGTCTCATATTGTGGTAAACTAAACGCCAGCTCTAAAAACGGCTCTAAAGCCTTTAAGTTCAGACAGAATGTTGCAGAAATAAAAGTGGCAGGGATCAGTGGAACTTGGAGCGGAGGGCCTGCAGAGAACCGTCTCAGTGGAAAGAACGCAGCTTTGTGCAGCTCCGAGCCCGCAGCAGGACGCATGTTTGTGTTTACGCCTTGCTCTGCGTAACCTCCGCACATGTTCCTCCCACCGACCGACATCCTGCCACACAAAAGACCTTTTGTTCGCCCAACAGAAGGACGGAGGCAAATTACACGAGGAGACAACAAACATGTGAGGAGAGACTGCACGCAAAGAGAAGCAGCTTCACATCTCAGGAACTCTGAGAAGAAACATCTTTCAGTTTAATTGTGAAGAAGGACACATGTAAACAACACAGCTACAATCAATCCAGGGTTTAGGAGTGTCTCAGTAAGACTGACTACATGAAGCGTCAGCGAGCGGGGCGGTTTACAGAACTCTACAAGATCTGCTGGGAATCTGGTCCAGAAACAAACTGTTTTAAAATGTTTGAGGAAGACATTTCTGCAGAGAGCAGTGATTTACATCTAATCACTTAAAGAATAAACACAAAACAAGTCCTGTTTTTTTTAATAATTTACAATCTGATCTAACTCTGAACACTTATAAAAGAAACAAAACTGCAGAACACTTGGAACTAATTGTATCATTTAAATGGTTCTTGCACTCAAACTATATGCAGTTTTGTTAGATCTACTGTCAAGCATTCTTTTATTCTCTGAAGAAGAAGAGAGAAGTAGAAGAAGAAGTCATTTCTCTGCATTCAACCATCACACCTGAGATACACCCAGGTGGAGAGTGGGCAGCTATGTAAGCGCACAGGGTGCAGTACGGATTGGGTGTCTTGCTCAGGGACAAAATGACACGTGGGCATGATGGGGAGTTGAACCTGTGACTTTCTCAAGTCGGCTGCTCTGCCTCTACACCACAGCCGCCCCCGGCCCAACACAAAGATCCTAGATCTACAACCAAAACCTCAATTTTTGCCAATAAGCAACATATTCAGTGCTTTTAATAAACTCAGCTCTTCTTTTAAAGGAGACAACGAAGCCGGCCCGCATCATGTTAGAGCCTCCGCCATGCTCTACTGAAGATGGACTTTTCTGTGTGGGGCTCGTTCTGTCACCTCCAAACAAACTGGAATTCAATAAACAAATTCAGAGTTTATCAATCGCCTGCTTGTTCCTGAGCCACTTTCAGCTTCAGGGTTGTTGCTTTCTTCATTTACAGAGACCCTGGAGTGACGTGAACGCTCCTCCAGCACCCGCATCATTGAAGCTGCTGAAGCTCCTCGCCTGCTCCTGTTGGCCACCACGTGCTCTTTGAACTCGTACGAGTCTCCTCCTTTAACACCTTCTACTGAACGTAGCTCTTTTTCAAACAGCTTCAAAATCAAACCAAAGAGCCAAAACACAGCTTTCACCGGGGGAGGTCACATGCACGAGGGACCATCGGTGGTGCACAATGGCAGCGTACAAAAGCAAACCTGTTGTTCCATAAACCGGCTCATTGTTGCTCCTACGTCCTTCACTGTGAGGTTCTTCACAGCTGTCTGGTGTGAGAGCACCTTCACAAAGCTGTAAAACAACATGGTCCACCACAGGTTGGAGTCTTTATGGCTTTAGTTGTGGTCTCCTTGTTCACCCGTGACCTCCTGCTCGTTCACCCGTGACCTCCTGCTCGTT